TGGCTAGGGCTGGAGTTGATTTTAGGAAGCGAGATACCAGGCCATAAACCTGGCCACTTAGTACAGCAGTCCCCTTTATCCACGGTTTTGCTTTTTGCAGTCTCAGCTACCCATAGTCAAATGTTAAATGAAAAATTCTAGAAATAAATATTGTATACATTTTAAGATAATCAGTTCTGAGTAGTGTGATGAAACCTCTCACCATCCTGCTTCTTCCTGCCCAGGATGGGAATCATGCCTTTATCCAGGGTATCCATGCTGCATACACTACCCACCTGGTAGTCACTTAATAACTATCTCAGTTATCTGATTGATTGTTCATATTGCAGGGCTTACGGACAAGAAACCCTTATTTTACTTAATTAATGCCCCAAAGCAATTCACATAACTGTTATTATAGTATCCTATATAATAAAAGGCTACTATGCAAATTGTCCCCTCCACCAGGAGTTTAACCAGGTGATGGGGCCTGCCAACCACCTGCAGTCCCTCCCCGTGGCCAGTCCTGCCCCTGATTGCACCCCCACACCCCAATAGGGGGCGGGCCCAGCCCACCAACTACCCACAGCCCCTCCCCCAAACTAGCCTGGCCTTATAGGCCCTGATGGGGCAGGCTGGCCAGACTCCACCCATGCACAAATTTGTGCACCGGGTCTTTAGTATTGTCATAATTTCTATTTTATTATTAGTTATTTCTAATCTCTTACTGTGCTTAATTTATAAATTAAACTTTATCATAGGTATTTATGCTTAAAAAAAAAAAAAACGGCATTAATGGTTTGGTACTATCCACAGTTTTAGGCATATATTTGAGGTCTTTCAACATATCCTCAATGGATAAGGGGGAGTAACTGTATAAAAGTGAGAATATTTTTTAATGGTAGATTGAAACAAATACGTATGAAACCTAATAAAAAGTTTTGTTAGAACTTATTTGCTACCCATTTTTATTGTCAGAAAATAATATCTGATCTTAGATTGTGTGAGTTAGATGAGCAATTATATAAATCCAACTGATATAAAAATTTTAATATATATATATATATATATATATATATATATATATTATTTCAGAGAGCAAGGAAGAGGAAGAGAGAGAAATAAACATCAATGCTGAGAGAGACTCATTGATCAGCTGCCTCCTGCACACTCCATACTGGGAATTGGGCCCACAACCTGGACATGTGCCCTTGACCAGAATCAAACCTAGGACCTTTTAGTCCACAGGCCAATGATCTATCCACTGAACCAAACTGGCTAGGCCTAAAAGTTTATTTTTAATATAGCCAAGTATTACACCCAGAAAGACAAACAATACCATATAAAAGGGTACACTATTTCTTTTATTATTCTAAATTAATTACACAGGAAGAAATTATATATATTTTTATATTTGTCCTGACAGGTTTATCAATCAGATTTATGAAAATAAATAGGCAATTTAAAAAAAAAATCTAGATGTGGATAAGAAGAAACTACTTTGCCACTAGAAAAATACATTTTAAATAAAACTATAATTCTACTTTGAAAATTATCAAATGTTAGATATAGTAAATGTTTAAATAAATATAAAAATAAATTTTACTGATTAAAATAGCTTCTATGCATTAATGAGGGGGACAATAATCATAATAATAGAAGGCCAGAGGTGTCACAACCAAAACATCCAAATGACCGATCACTAGGAGGTGCATGGAGCACCTCTTATTTTCCCCACCCCCTGCCCACGAGCAGGACTCTGATGACATGATGGGAGGCGAGGTGCCTCATGAGGCACTGTAGGACATGGGGCCTCTCAAGTGATTTCTCACACTGGACCCTTATTTTTTATTAAAAAGAGAAAATAGGTTATTTCTTTTATGATATTTCAAAATTATTTTGTGTTCTACCATTTTCAAATCAATTATATATAAAATATATATTTTTGTATGCATATAATTCAGAGAAAAATGCCGTAATTAACTAAGGGGCTTTAAAAAAGACATTATTTGCATTGCTATAAACCAGTAAACTGCTAATTAGAAATAAAATAAAATAACTAATACCACATTAAATTTTTTCATAACAACATGAAGATTTAGTACCTCCCACAAAGAACTTACAAGTAGAATTACTGCTAATATTCTGTTAAAATGCATATTTAAAATGCACAAGTATCATTTGCTACGTATAATTTTTTTAAAGTTATAATTTAGCAATTTTAAAATCTAAAATTTCAAAATTCAGTTCAAAAACTAAGTAGGGGTGAAGAGGTTGATTGGAGGGAGTAGGTTAACAAGATAAAAGACAAAGTAAAAGACAATCAAGAATACATTGGGGGAAGGAAGTGAGATAAATTCATAAGTAAATATAAGCTAAGCCACAATATGAATGTTCCTCTCTGATTAGTACACCTAAAATACTTATAAATTCAGAGAGAAAAAACATTTAATCTGGTTGAATGCAATAAATCTTTCCTAGAAGAGATAGCATTACTGACTGAGATCGGGTAGGATTTCAGTGCATGGCAGATGGAGGGAAAAGAGTCATTCTAAGTGGAATGACGGACAAAGCACAGTAGATGAAAATCTAATTTTTGTTAGAGGAAGACTAGTCAGCTTTGTTTGCTAATTTTAGTTACATAAAGCAATTGCATAGTTAACCTGATAATAATTTATAAACACTTTGTTTTAAAACTTCTATAATGAATTAAAGTATTACCTTTCTATCAAGTTCTATATTCATAATTTAAATTCTGTTAATTTAATAAAGAATGGTTAAGTTTCCAGGGATGAGTGCATTGCATTTTATTATTTTTATTTGAATTAGTATACTACTCTAAGTTAGAAACTCATCATGCTAACTGGGGATTTAAAATTATAATAAACCCAAAGTAGAAATATATTTGCATAACTAAAAAAAAATGAAAAAATCTAGAATGAATTTAAATATCAACGGTACTGCATTCAATAACGTTATTTATTGTAAAAATGTGGAAGAATTGGTCCTTAGAATGCATCATCGTGCTTCACTGTACAAAAGCAAACGTTAAATCAAAGTTTCTCAAATAAAATGATCTGTCTGGTCCTGCTTCTATAACAGTATATATTTTTAGTTCAGATAAGTAAGCAAATTTATAGCAGATAAAGTTTTTTTAAATTATTTTTTTCACTGAAGTGTAATACAAAGAGATTACTTTCACTTTAGAAAAAGCATTACAATTTACTTGTCATTGATGATGATCCAAATTTGATTTCCAGAAAAAATAATAACACTATCTCAATAGCTTACCATTTTGCTAAATAATTTATTAGGCAAATAAACTACCCTTTTTAAAATGACTATTGAATCCCTTCTCATAAAAAAAAAAATAAACCCATGTTAGCATTATAACTTACTCTTTATCACTGTACTTGTTCTGAAACAAAAAATTCCTACTTTTCTTGCCAGGCAGCTTCAAATAAAGCATTTAGTAATATATTGGTGCAAGAATTGATAACATAGATTCCTCCCCAAAGTGAAATTCTAAATATTTTCCCAAAGATTGGTGAAAGGTCTTGGGGATGGGTGAATAAAAAAATACACTAAAAAACAATATAATGCACTACAGTAAACATAAAAACAAAAGAGAAAAAATGAAAAATTCTGGGAACCTTAACTAATATTCATCTATTAGTTATTCATATGTAAGTAAAATAACATTTCTACTTACATGTGTAGTGGCATATAAGAGAAATGTCAGCTAAAGGAAAATAAACTGTAGCAGTACTCATTTAACAGTACAATAAAATTGTTTCAATATGACTTATCATGTTCATTGGCCAGAAACAAGGGAGCGGGAGAAGAAAGAGAGAGAACAGGAGAAAGCAGGAACTTTTAAACTAAAAACCAGGTAAAACCAAGTATAGTCTGGAACTATAATGATTGTTAGTCAAGGCAGGATGTAAAAATAAATCATTTTATTTGTTCCATATTTACTAGCATGCTCGGGGGTAGGGATTTGAGCTAGTACTTTTTTTTAGGTTGCACCTTAGGTGAAGTACAACAAAGATGATCTAATTACAGTACAGCAGAATAAATGTTTGTGTTTTTTTTTTGTCCATGTGAGTTCCTCTGCACTCCGCATGTTCACAGATAAAATAGACTCTATTTTACCCATTCAAAAGGACTGAGTTGTATCCCTTCAACTTTAGTAGGAAGTAAAGAAACAGGACTAAGACCATGTGATTTTCTCTGTAACCCACACCATACCTCCTTCAAAGAATGAAGCTGTACAGACCATTGGTGTAATCAGAAGACTGGTATTGCCAGCTAGAGAAAGCATATGCTTATGTCTTGATCACTTCAGGCTTCTTTACAAAAATAAAAATAAAAAAATAAAAATTTCTGTTGCATGCAGTCCTTGGCCCTTCCTCATCTATATCTCCATCTGATCCACTGCTGGTCCTTGTACAGGTCCCATCAGCAGCCCTTCCCACTTCCTATTGATTAAGTCTCAAAAGGTAGAGGGGTACAGGAAGTGACAAAGATAATGTATAATTATCAATGAGATGAATCAAGATTTGAATTAATATAGTTACATTAGAGTGCCTTTCACACATTTTACAGATATAACAATTTTAATAATATAGCATCAAAAAAACCTATTATAGTATTTCAACTGTTCATGAGTGTTGCTTGAATATACTGACTGCCTAATATTAAGAATTTGTTTTAAGTATGGATAAATCATTTCTCATAGAAGTTATGGGAGGTTATAACTTCCATAAAATTATTTCTCAGCAATCTATTTGTGCTGCATTCCTAATCAACAGTTCATCATTTGAGCTAGTAATAATTAGGTCACCTTGGATATCTTAATCAAAAACAAGCTTATACATTTCTCTAGCTTTTATTAACTAGTGAGTATTTTAACAGGACTTACAGTTTTCCCCCCAGCATGTAATATTTAAAATAAGGTTCCCTGGTAAATAAAACAAGCACGAACGACACTAAAGTAGGTCATAAAGAAGACATTCCCATTACGTTGACAGCAGCACCACATCAGCCACGGCTGTTTCCGAGTCCTGACTGTGATTGGAGCTGATGCCAGTGTCCGAGTCTGTGTCGTTTGTGTACACATTCAATAGTCTCTGAGTAGAAGGCAGACCCTCCCCGCCACTGCTGGGGGCCTCGGACTCCTTCCCTCTGCTTTCCTTTAACTGGCTTCCATCTGTGCTGCTAATATGAACTGAACTGAACTCCTTGGCCAGGAGCTCATATTCTTTTGCTTTCATTTGAAGCAATGAGTCACTGTACTTAATCTCTTTCTGGATGCCACTCAAGTGAGAGTGGATTTTCAAGCCAGCTTTCATGCTTTTCTCCAAATCACACTTAACACTTTCTAAGTTTAGGCTTTCAAGTTCACTCGCAGCTGCCCCTCCCACGTCTTCATAGATCTCAGAGCAAACCCTTTTCACCTCTTTTTCGATTTCAGCGGAGAGCTTATCAATCAGCATTCTGTAATAGACTAGCTGCTCCTCCAGCTGCAGGATTCCGTCACTTTTGCTCAGGTCCTCCAGAATCTGGCTTTCACCAAGCTGCAAGTCTAGCTTTTGTTCCACGTCACTGAAACTGGGCACTAAATAGGCATCCTGGACATAATTTTCTCCATTACTTTCCACCCGCTCAAGGTGGAACTTAGCTTCACACTTTTCAATTTCCAGATCCAGTTCTTTCATTCTCTTGACTTGCTGATGGATAGTATGGTCCTGGGAAATAATCAAATGAACTAAGGTCTCCATACTCTCTCGATCATGGGAAACTGTGTCCTGCTTATTAATTTTAGCCAGTTTCCGGAAGGTTTTTCTGACTATTCTTTTTTGCTTATCTGGTGGCAATGTCTTCATGTAGTTTGCAGGGCTGAGCTCCCACAGTTTTTCCGTGTTTTGTATTAATTTGGCTTCAGCTGTCCGCCACAAGGGAACTGGTAGAAAAGCATCGGCTTTCACCAAAACGAATTGCATATTGGGCTGCTCATCTCCCCATGCCTTCCAGAGCTTCAGGATCCTAGTTAGTGGCGGGAGAACCCGTTCGGAGCCCCTCCACTTTTCTATGATGCAATAATCATTGGGCTTCCCCAGGAGGAATCGTTTCTCCCCAAATGTAGTCTCGTGTTCTTCAAGCAAAGCCTGAATGACATCAGCCGAGGTGGTACGTTTAGTTAAACCAGAGACAATCTTCTCTTCTTGGCAAACCCAAACCACAATTTCCTTCTCTTCCGAATCCATGTCTTTAGTTGGAGATCTGAAAGAAAAACAAAGCACATTATATTCCTGTCATCACTTGTGTAAAGTCAGAAAGACAGTGGTTTAACTTTAATACCCTTAAGAAGACACACATTTTGTGATTGAGATTGCATAAGAATCAGAAGTTTAAGTGCATGAAAAAAAATCTTAAAACCGCGGAAAATTTCTTAATTTTCTTTCTTAGTGGTCTCAGGAAGTGCAAATTCTTATCAAAAACTGAGGCTATTTTATTTTTAGAAGTCAACTGCAATATAACTAAGTTCAAACTGCTAGATTAAGACAAGCAAGACAATTATCAAAGTGAAGGTGAATCAGAGGAGAAAGAAATTTTTCAGGGAAAACATTTTTGGTATATGCTTCCTGGAGTCAAATGCCTTGAGGGTGCTACATAAAGTGATAAATGACTAACTTTCACAACAAGCCAATTACTACTCAAAAATTGTATGTCTTCTTGGTTGTTTCACTACCTATGTCTTTTTTTTTTTTCTTCAGAAAACTGTTTCCCTTCCCCCATGCCTCTCTATATCATAAAGGAAATTACTATCAAGTTTTTACTTAATATGTATGTCCCAACTTGAACCACTTCCTATTGTCTCTACTGTTAAAACTCTAGTCCAGGCAATCCTCATCCTCATCCTCATAATCTGGAGTATAATCCATTTCATTTGTTTCTTAGCATTGCTTTAAAGATATATTATAACAGTCAATTTTATTTACAGTCATAATATTTACAGTCATAACCTTAGGACTAGGAAAGGATCATGGAAGCAAAGGTAGAAATGGTGAATTAATATTAAAGTCATAGTGTTGAAAACAGTCCATTTTAAAAATTGTCATTCTTTCATTCAAAAAAATGTTTATTGTATGACCATGTGCCAGATATTTCTGAAAATGGTAAAGATCCTATAATAAACAGAGGAAATGAGGGCACAGACGCAGCTGTGTACTTAATATTAAATCAGACAGTGGTAAATACTAGACAAAATATTAAATGGGTGAAGGGATACAGTGTCTTGAAAGAAGTCTATTTAGCGTGTTTAAGACTTAAGACTTCTTTAAGAAGGCAATATTTGAATAGGAAAGTAAGTTATGAGAAGGCAATGAGAGACTTAAGGCAAGAATTCCAAAAAGAGTAAACAGATGTGCAGGGACTGTGAAATATGTTCCAGGGACAGGAAAAAATATGTGAATGCAGTTTGAAGCTGAGGATAGTGGAGTCGGGTTTGTTGCTGGTGGGACAGATGGGAAAATGACAGGGGATGAGGTCTAGAAGATGGGCGTAGCCTTGCAGGTCATGGTAAAGTATTTGGATTTTGTTTCAGCTTTAAAGAGAAGCCATGAGAAAGTTTTAAGCAGAAGAGGAATATAATCTAATTTATGCTTTAAGTTTATATGGCTTCTGTTTATGGTATAGACTGTAAAAAGGGCAACAAAGGCAGGAAGTGTCAGTGGAAAATCTAGTGGAGAGGGCTAAGAAAGGGATGAGGGTTGCCTGGACTGAAGTTTTAACAGTAGAGATAATAGGAAGTGGTTCAAGTTGGGACATACATAACAAGTTAAAACTTGATAGTAATTTCCTTTATGATATAGAGGAGCATGGGAGGCGGCGAAGAGTTTTCTGAAGCAAAAAAGACTTAGGTAGTGAAAGAATCAAGATAGCTGCATAACTTCTAGGCTGTACCTTTTGGCAAGGTACATTGCCAAATGTACTTTGATTGTAAATAAAAAAGGCTGTCTTTCATAATAGCTCTTTACAAAGTGCTAAAAACAAATAATATGAAATGAACTATAATCAATGTGATTTATGAAGACATGATTTTTGAGTAGTAATTGACTTGCTATGAAAGTTAGTCATTTATCATTTTATTTATGTAGCACCTCAAAGCATATTACTCTGAAGCACATACAGACAAAATTTTCTCTGGTTTCTAGAATCATTTAATACTAAGAATTTAATTTATAGTGTTTATGTTTCAGTAGTAAGAGTGATTGATCATATATTGTCATCTTTATTTTAAATGACTGATTATTATACTTTGGTTACTGGCTCTCTTGAGACAATAAAGCGACTACTACAGAAGAAAGAACAAATTGGTGATACCAAATAACATAAAGATTGGATCTAGTTCAGTGTACTAACAAAATTTTATCAATAATTGTTCAAAAAGTCATTCTGAGTTGTAATTTCTCTCTTATGAAACATTTTACATTTAATGACAGTATAGATTAATGTGATGTCTGATATTTATGACACAACATTTAATAATTCTAACCAGCATAAAAATAGGTTAGAAATTAAGATAAAACTACTTTAATATTTCGATTACTATAAAACTACAAATACAAATATACTCTAAGAAAAACAAATATGCTCTCCAAGTAATTAACAACAATCTGCTTTATGACTGACTATACTGGACAAATTACCTCTAAATTAATCCTTACCTTGATATGTCTTAAGCATGTATATAAAATATTTGAATTTAACATAAACATTTTTGTACACTATGTAGTTAGTAGTTTACTAACTAACTTGGATAATTTGAAAAGAAGTACAAATTCAATGTACATACTGTATGTTAAATTACAACTAACTTCCATATGAATTTTTATAAGTGATGTTAAAATAACAAAATAGAGTCATAATTATTGTCATATAATTATTCATCTCATAAGATAATGGCAATAGCTATGATGTTATAACTAAGGACATCTTTATTTTATACTAGAGGGCCATGCATGGGTGGGATTCCTTGGCTTGCCTGGTGATCAGGGCCAACCGGTGGGGTGTGGAGGGGAAGGAACCATGAGAGGTTGGCCAGCCATGAGAGGCTAGCTGTGAGACTACATGGATCACCAGGGGGCAGCTCTTGCATTGAGCGTCTACCTGCTGGTGGTCAGTGCGGCCGTCATAGCTACTGTCCACTGCTTGTTCAGTCCTTTGATCAACTGCTGCTCAGGCTTTTATATATATATATATATATATATATATATATATATATATATATATATATATATATATATATATGTGTGTGTGTGTGTGTGTGTGTGTCTTTAGGGTTAAACTCTAAAATAAATTCTATTAAGAACAATGAGCAGCAGCCCTGGCTGGTGTGGCTCAGCTTGTTGGAGCATTGTCGTAGACACCAAAAGGTGGCAGATTCGATTCTCAGCCAGGGCACATACCTAGGCTGCAGGCTGGATCCCCCATTCGGACCTGTACCCAATTGATGTCTCCCCCTTCTTCTTGTTCTTTAAAAAAAAAAAAAAAGCAGCAAAAGATTATAAAAATCAATTATAAACTTGTAATGTAATAAATGCCAACCACTGTTCGAAGTGCTTACTTATATCAGTGATTTAGTCCTCACAATTTTCTAAAGTAAAATGTTTATAAGGTAGGCAAATATTATCTACTAGGCATACCAGTTAATAATGTGAATTTTTTTCAATAGATGGAGTTATACATATGTTGATAAATATGCAACTTGGTTCGTATTCTATTTTGTTGTATTGACAACAAGCTTTAACACTTTATATGTCAAATTTACTGAAGGTGTTAACATCATAGATGTTTTTACACTTAAAAAGGTCAAATTTCATGCAAAAAAAAGCATTTGAGGAAAGTTTTAATTCATCACTTTATTTTGAAGAAAAAGTTATTGTATACTTCAGGAAGCTTATGGTGAATATACTTCATCTCAAGATACTTGTGTATGCTGGGTTTAAACACTTTAAAAGTGATGATTTCAATGTAAAAGATAAAGAAGGTCCAGGTCAACCAAAAAGTTTAAAGACCCAAAATTACAAGCATTATTGAATAAAGATGTGTGTCAAACTCAAAAACAACTTACAGAAAGATTAAATGTTGCTCAGCAAACAATTTCCAATCATTTACAAGCAATGGGAAAGATGTGAAAGGAAAGAAAATGGGTGTCACATCACTGAACGAAAGACAAATGGAAAATCAAAAAGTCATCAGTAAAATGCTGCTTCAACGTCAACGGCATGAAAGAAAGTCTTTTCTTTTTTCTTTTTTAAAAATATATTTTATTGATTTTTTTTTTTTTTTACAGAGAAGCAGAGAGAGGAATAGAGAGTTAGAAACATCGACGGGAGAGAATCATCCATTAGCTGCCTCTTGCACACCCCTTACTGGGAATGTGCCCGCAACCAAGGTAAATGCCCTTGACCACAATGGAACCCGGGACCTTTCAGTTCGCAGGCCACTGAGCCAAACCGGTTTCGGCAAGAAAGTCTTTTTTGCATTGAATTGTTACTAGAGATGAAAAGTGGATTTATTTTGACAATCCCAAATGCACAAAATCATGGGTTGATCCAGGTCAACCATCAACATCGATTGCAAGGCCAAATTGCTTCAGAAAGAAGACAATGCTCTGCATTTGATGGGATCAGGAAGGTGTGGTGTATTATGAGCTTCTAAAATCAGGTGAAACCATTAATACTGATCACTACTGACAACAAATAATCAATTTGAGCCATGCTTTGATCGTGAAAGAATCAGAATGTGCCAGAAGACATGGCAAAGTAATTTTGCTTCATGATTACGCACCATCACACACTTCAAAACCAGTTAATGACACCTTAAAAGATCTTGCCTGGGAAGTATTAAGTCACCGCTGTATTGAGCAGACCTTGCTCCTTCAGATTCCCACTTGTTCTGATCGATGGCACATGCACTTTCTGAGCAGCACTTCAAAACATATGAAGAAGTGAAAAATTGGTTTGCCTCAAAACAAGAAAAGTTCTATTGGAACACTATCCACAAATTTCCTGAAAGCTGGGGGAAATGCGTAGCTAGCAATTAACATTATCTTGAATTAAGCACTTTTAAAAATATATTTTTTATTGATTTTTTTTTTTTACAGAAAGGAGAGAGATAGAGAGTTAGAAACATCGAAGAGAGAAACATTGATAATCTGCCTCCTGCACACCCCCTATTGGGGATGTGCCTGCAACCAACGTACATGCCCTTGACTG